CAGTATTCTGTCCACGCAATACAATGAACCCTTCATCAAACAATTCCTTGATGCTCTGACCGTCCCAGCGGATAACCAACAGCGCCCTATCTGCTGCATCGAGTAGGTTAGATAGGGGTATGGATGCTACTGCTCAAGCTTTCCCAGCTACTTATCCCCCTTCTTGCACTTTTTCATCCTTATCGTCCCGCTGCAGCTTTAATTTTATCCCCATTTTGAATCCCCCAATTCCTGGCCCTCTCCCACCTAGCTTTAATAATCACTTATCTTCTAGTTCCAACTTACACACAGGCGCAGGGTGTCGCTCCAATACAGTCGACAAGTCCAGGTTCAACCAAGCGGACAATCTCAGTCCATCTGTCTCCCTTTGGAGTCCTCGCGTCTCGCTAAGACTGGCATGCCTCAACGTGTGCACTTTGCTACAGACTGGCTAGCAGGCAGCACTTGCCCGCACACTAGAGACCCTATCGATGGATATTTGGTGTTTATCCGAAACCAGCCTACAAAATTCGAGCTCCGTGGTTACCCTGAGATCCCCAACATGGGACCCTAACGCCACATTCTCATTGCGCCTGTCTGGCGATGATGCAGCTTTAAATGCCGGTCAAGCTGGCCTCGGCATTGTTTTGAGTCCCCGGGCTGAAGCTGCCCTGATCGATTGGATGCCATTCAACAGTCAGATGTGCGCCGTTAGATTAGCTGCTTCGTTCCATGCTACGAAGTCGCGCGAGGACAACTGGTGCCTGTTTGTCATTGCGGCCCACACTCCTACAAAATGTAGCACTATCAGTAACTTCACGATCTCCTTCGTTATAGAAGAAGCACGGATACTGCGGTGTTGGCCGGCTATCTAAACTCCCAGGTTGGAAAATTGTCGTATGATGAGATTCAGTTGGTCGGCCAACATGGTGTAGGCTCCCGTAATGATAAAGGTGAGTGATTGCTACAGCTGTGTGAAGATGCTCGTCTCTTTCTTCCGAGCACAAAGTTTCGACACAGCACCAGCAGAAGCGTGACTTGGCGGCCACCAGCCGCGGTACAGCCATGGACGCAAATCCATTATATCGCGATCAGTTACCGCTGGAGAGGCTGTGTCCAAAACTGTTGCTCACGCGCGTAGTCTCTGACCACGCACTTGTCTGCGCCGACCACCGGGTGCGTTTCGGTGGACGTTCGTAAAGTCAATGTGGAAGGATTGACACCAGCCAGCTGGCGAGGCTAGGTGTTCTGAATGTGTATAAAAGTACGCTGACATGCAAGCTGAGTAAGGTCACACTGAACACCGTCGAAGAACACTGGTCGCATATTCGTCAAACGTTACTATCAGCAGGCATGTCTTCATGTGACAAATCAAATAGCCAAACTGGAAATTGGGTCCCTTCACAGTCTCTGGAACTTATGGATGCTCGCCGACGTATTCCGGCTGGAAGCGAATACAATGAGGATTGCAAAAACCCCAAACCAAAACTACGTGCTGGCCCGAAGAAAGATCGCGAAGCCTGGTGTTCTCATCGTGCCTCTGGGATGGAAACAACCGCTACCGTTGGTAATCATCGTAAGTATTTCCGTCTGATACGTGAAACAGGCAGCAGGAGATCTGGTGTTAGCGAGACCATACGCGACGAGGGTAGCCAGCCGATCCACAGCCTGTCAAAACACTTGCAGCGTTGGGCCGAACACTTTGCAAGGCAACTTAACCCACCTGAGTCACCTGTTTCTTATTCGGGCATTGAGCGCCCTTTTTCATTGGCCGTCGCCTTGGATCTGCCCTCACGCCTAGAAGTCGACAGTGAAATCAGGCTGTGGAAATGGCATAAGGCTGCAGGGGCAGATAGAATTCCCCGCAGCCTTCTTTAAATGCGGGGGACTTGCTCTAATAGCTGATTTACACGAGTTGCTAGTAAAACTTTGGGAACAGGAGACTGTCCAGACAGACTGGAGTCGCCCCTTCTTTGTCCAAATTTTCAAGAGTGGTTCCATTCAGAATACGGTAATCATGGAGGGATCAGTCTGAACTTAATTGCTTAAAATTTGCTAACCTCTGTCATTCTCCATAGACTGACTGGCACTCGTTAAAACCAGATTGAATTTCCCCATCAGGCGAACGTAACTGTAAGATCGTACCATTAGGTTTTTCATAGCGGCGGCCATGACGTTGTCCATTTCTAAAGTGGACGTTGGTGAGTGGTATACAATGGCCACTAAGCAGTATCGCCAAACCTTGGGTCTAGGCGGCACCTTAAGCTGTCTAATGTTTGAACCCCATGATCGTTTATACGGTTGATGAGTGGGTCAGAGCGGTAGTAAAGAATTACACCGCACCTCCTAGTAGGCCGGTTAGTCTCAACACAAAATGTACACCCATTGCACAAAGCAGTTTAGCGCATTTGATCACAGGCAAAAGTAATGTTCGTGTAACGCCTGTTTCTGACGTATACGCCCTAACCGTTGATATTACCTAATATGGTTCTGGTCTGTACCACGGTAAATAGGATTGAAGGCCTATGGCCGAGGGTCAGTTATTTACTTTGAGTTTATAACCTAAGGCATGGATACACCTGGTTTAATTTTGTGTTGATTGTGCCGTACGATTAGTTTAGAGGACACAGATGGTCAAAAACTGCCCAATATTAGCTGTATGCTGATAGTTTAACCAACTTAAACCAATATATTTGCACACAGCAATAAAATCAGGAGGAATTCATTACATCTAGACTCACTCAGATAGCCATCACACGCCTGGGCAAGCACCGTATGGCCGTTTCATCCTTTTACCATTCAACTCCCACTACTATATTTCTGTAAAACCAGGAGGGTAACAAGGGATAAGACCAAACATACAGATAAATGATGCTTTGAAGAACTCCGTACATGTTATTCGTCGGCTTTCGACATGAATACCATTTGGGGACATATTTTGTCCTGCAACATATATTTCAAGCTTCCGTTGGCCATTTAGCTAGGATGCGGCAGCATCGAGTTATGTCGGACTAGAAACATTAGCCTGTTACCATGGGGAACATTAGTGAATTTCAGCCAAACCAGAGACAAACCAATTTGGCATTTTTGATTAGGGAGTCAAAAGAGAACCAAGTCTGCTCCACTGTCCGGTGCATTTGGCAGCAAATTGGGCAATTGTGTAACGAAGAAGAAACCGGCACAATGTCAACACACACCAAGTACAGCGTTCGTTACCCACTGTGCACTAGCGATAGCATGAGCGTAAACGCGGCACAAACGAGGAAAAGTACAAAGTTTGTCAAAATCGATAGCACATACGGTAACTGGGACGAACAACAAAAGGAGGAAAAGGGTTACATTGTGCCC